AACTCTTTCTGTTAGTAAGCCCAATGCCAAATACAGTTGACCTTTTTTCTTCTCAGATTGAACGAATGCCAATTTGTGTATTCTATATGAATATTCACTTGCTTTGGGTAGTCATTCTTAAATGTGCTCATGTGCAAAGGGTGAAAATTTTTAGTCACCTGATGCTCATGTTCCCAGTTGAGGTTGTACAAGGCTGGTTCTGTGTTTGTGAATTCAGTGTTCATTGACACTTTATAGGACATAATGACCATGAATAATGAGAATCAGCTGTACACGTAAGAGCATATTTAATCCTTCCAACATTCCTACGAAGCAGAAAGCAGCTATGATGATGAGGAGGATGTTAATTTGACAGGTAAGGAAACAGAGGCACAGAGAAGTTAAGACTTCCCAAAGGTCACTCATTCAGGAAGTGGGAGATCCAGGATTCCAGCCCAAGCTGTCTGTATCCTCAATCCATGCATTATTCATCATGCTGAACTAGTAAAGCTTAATACTGACTGAAAAAGAAAAACAAACATAAATCTGAATGGACTCCAATCTCTCTTTCTAATGACAATATACTACATTCCAACAAATTTTCGTTAGTGGGGCATTACATCCAGCATTATGAGAATTTTGCTTAACTCTGATTATGCCATGAGCAGGGCTGGCACAGTGCTTAAAGTGCTAGGATGTTAACTGAAAGCTTGCTGGTTTGAATCCACCGGCTGCTGCACAGAAGAAAGATGGAGCAGCCTTTCATACAGATTTGCAGTCTTAGAAACCTTATGGGGCAGTTCTACTCAGTTCTATAGAGTCACTGTGAGTCTGAACTGACTCAACAACATGGGGTTTGCTGTTAAGTTGATTGTTTTTTGTTGTTGGTAGGTGTTGTCCAGTCAGTAGAGACTCTATGCACAACAGAATGATACATTGCTTGGTCCTGTGTTGCCCTAACAACTGTTGCTACATTTCAGCCGAATGCTGTTGCCACTGTGTCAGTCTTACTGGGGGTCTTCCTCTTTTTCACTGACCCTCCACTTTACCAAGTATGAATGTCCTTCTCCAAGGTCCGATCCCTCCTGACAGTATGTTCAGAGTATGAAAGATGAACTCTACTCATCCTGGCTTCTAAGGAACATTCTGGCTGTACTTCTTCCAACACAAATTTATTTGTTCTTCTAGCAGTCCATGATACTTTTAATATTCTTTTCTAACACCATAATTCAAATGCATCAGTTCTTTCAGGGTCTTCCTTATTCATTGTCCAAGATTCACATGCATTTAAAATTATTGGAAATACCATGATTTGAGTCAGACAAACCTTAGTCCTCAAACTGATATCTTTACTCTTGAACACTTTAAAGAGGTCTTGTGCAGCAATTTTGCCTAATACTGCTTCCATGAGTGTCGATTGTGGAACAAAGCAAAATGAAGACTTTGACAACTTCAATCTTATCTCCATTTATCATGATGGTATTTATTGGTCCAGTGGTGAAAAGTTTTGTTTTTTTTACATTGAAGTGCAATCCATACTGAAGGTTGTAGTCTTTGATCTTCATCAGTAAGTATTTTAAGTCCTCTTTGTTTCCAGAAAGCAAGGTTGTATCATTTAAATATCACAGGTTATTAATGAGTCTTCCTCAGATCTTGATGCCATATTCTTCTTAATATTATTCAGCTTTTTTAAAAATTATTTTCTCAACATACAGATTGTGTAAGCATGGTAAAAAAAAAAAAAAAAGTGCACACTTTTCTTAATTTTAAACCATCCAGTGTCCTCCTGTTCTGTTAGAATGACTGCCTCTTGGTCTATGTACAGGTTCCTCATCAGCACAATGAAATGTTCTGGAAAACTCATTCTTCTCAATATTATCTATAGCTTGCCATGATCTACACAGTCAAAAATCTTTGGTTAGTCAATAAAACATGAGTAAACATCTTTCTGGTACTCTCTATTTTCAGCCAAGATCCATCAGATGTCAGTAATGATATCCCTAGTTCCATATCCTCTTCTGAATCTGGCTTCAGTTTCTGACAGGACCCTGTCAATATACTGTTGCAGCCATTTTTGAATTATCTTCAACAAAATTTTACTTGCATGTGATGTTAATGATTCTGTTAAGATGATTTCTGCATTCGATTGGGTCACCTCTCTTTGGAATAGGCACAAACCTCTTCTAATTGGTTGACCAGGTAGCTGTCTTGCAAATTTCTTGGTATAACTGAATGAATGCCTCCAGTGATACATCACTCTGCTGAAAGATTTCAATTTGTATTCCATCAATTCCTGGAAGCTTGTTTTTAGTCAATGCCTTCAGTGTAGCTTGGACTTCATCTTTCAGTACCATCAGTTCTTGGTCATATGCTAACTCTTGAAATGGTTGAACATTGACCATTTCATTTTGGTACAGGGGCTCTGTGTATACCTTCCATCTTCTTTTGATACTTTCTGTATCATTCAATAGTTTGTCCTTGGAATCTTTCAATATTACAAGTTGAGGTGTGTATTTTTTTCTTCAGTTTGTTTTTTCAGCTTGAGGAATGTTGAGCTTGTTCTTCCCTTTTTGGTTTCTTCTCCAGGTCTTTGCACACATCATTGGAATATTTGACTTGTCTTCTCGAGCAGCCCTTTGAAATTTCTGTTCAGCTTTTCAACTTCTTCATTTCTTCCATTTGCTTTAGAATCTCTACACTGTAGAGTAAGTTTCAAAGTCTCTTCTGACATCCATTTTGATCTTCTTATTTTGTATTTTGAATGGCCTTTTGCTTTCTTCCTGTATGATGTTCTTGATGTCATCCCACAAGTCTTCTGGTTTTTGGCCATTAGTGTCTAATGCATCAAATCTGTTCTTGAGATGGTCTCTAACTTCAGGTGGGCTATATTCAAGGTCATATTTTGGCTCTTGTGAATTTGTTTTAATTTTCTTCAACTTCAGCCAGAAATTGTACATATGCAACTGATGGTCTGTTACACAGTCTGCTCCTGGCCTTGGTTTTGACTGATATTGAGCTTTTCCACCATCTTTTCCCACAGATGTAGTCAGTTTGATTCTTGTGTATTCTATCTGATGAGGTCCAGGTGTATAGCCACCTTTTATGTTGTTTAAAATTGGTATTTGCAACGAATAAATCATTGGTCTTGTAAAATTCCATCATATGCTCTCCAGCAAAATTTCTATCACTAAGGCCATATTTTCCAACTGCTGATCCTTCCTCTTTGTTTCCAACCTTTGTATTCCAATCATCATTAATTATCAATACATCTTGATTGTATGTTTGATCAGTTTCAGATTGAAGAAGTTGGTAGAATTCTTTAATTTCATTCTCACTGGCTTTAGTGGTTGGTGCATAAATTTGAATCATAGTCGTATTAACTGATCTTCCTTTTAGGCGTATGGATATTATCCTATCACAGATAATGTTGTACTTCAAAACAGACCTTGATATGTTCTTTTTGATGATGAATGTGACACCATTCCTCTTCAATTTATCATTCCCGGTATAATAAACCATGTGATTGTCAGATTTAAAATGGTCACTATCAGTCCATTTCAGCTCACTAATGCCTAGGATAGCAATCTCTGTATGTACCATTTAATTTTTGAAAACTTCTAATTTTCGTAGATTCATACTTCATACACTCCATGTTCTAATTATTATTGGATATTTGCAGCTGTTTCTCCTCATTTTGAGCTGTGCCCCTTCAGCACATGAAAGTCTCAAAAGCTTTATTCCATTCATGGCAGTATGGTTAACTCTACTATGAAGAAGCAACTCTTAACCAGTCATTTCTAGAATATCTTCTAATCTGAGGGGCTCATCTTCCAACACAATATTAGACAATATCCTACTACTATTTGTAATGTTTTCAGTTTCCAGTACTATAGCTGACAATGTTCTATAGATATTCATAGGGTTTTCAGTGGCTAAACATTCAGAAGTGATCAGCTTCTCCTTCTTCCTAGTCTGACTTAGCCTGGAAGTTCTTTGAAACCTGTCCACCATGAGTAAAACTGCTGGTAGTTAAAAAATGCAGGAGGCATACAGCAACAAACAAGCCACCAACAGACGTGTGGTGGTTGGATTAACCACAGCCCTGTATTTATACCCTGAAAGTGGCTTTCACTATGCAAGGGAAAACTCTACCAAAATCTAAGTATTTACCAACTCCCTTGCAGTTAAGTGAAGTAAAATGGCCAACTGTGCCAACAGATGGTGAATGAGGGAGGTGCATACCACTTTTGGCTCTTCAGTTCTCCACGCTCTCATTTCTATTCTGCCCACTGGATGTTCAGGGTACAGTGGACATAGAAGTTGACAGGCAATACCATGGATGGAGCCTGGCTCGCTCAATCAAGAGGCACCCTCCCAGTTAGAAACACCCACCTTAGACCCTTGAACAAAAAGTAAACTTCTATTGTATTTGAGCCAATGTACATTTAGAAGGCTACTTATTCCTATAGCCTAGCATACTGTCCTGGTGTGCTGCTGTGGATTAAAGCGCTGGACTGCAATGTCAGTTTGAACTGCAAGGTCAGTGTTTCAAGCTTACCAGCTGCTCCTCGGAAACCCTACGCAGGGTTGCTATGGGTCGGAACTGACTCGATGGCACCTAACAACAACAACAACAACAAGCATACTGTAGTGTTGGTGTGGTGTTGTAGTATTAGCATTGAAGTGCTAACCACACTGTCGACAATTCAAATCTATGAGCCTCTCCTTGGAAACTCTATACAGGGTTGCTATGAGTCAGAATCAACTTGAGGACACTTAACAGAAACAAGTATATACCATTACGTACATTTATAGGTCAGAGACTGAGCTTGATAGCCTTGGACAATAACAAAAATCCACACAGCAGCTTGTAGCTTGTAGAAACTTCTACTTTCCCCTAGGGGTCTCTGTTCAGTTACCCAACCCACCCAACGCCCCACCAACCCCCTCCACATGCAGTGGTCCCAGAGCAAGGGCAGAGGAGGCTAAGGCCTGGGAAATCAGTGCATGCATTACATTACCACATCGGTTTCCTTCATGAGAGGTCCCGTTGCTCTTGGGGCTGGAGGCTGGGGGCCTCAGCCCAGAGGCCAAGGGGCTTGCATGGATACCACCGGCTGTGGTGGTAGGGCCTCCCCCGAGGCGGTGGTCTCCAGAGTTCTGCCTCTTGCAGTAGAGTGAGGAGGAGGGGTGCAAGGATCCCCTGTGGTTAAAGGCGGTGGTGGAGGGGTCCACATTGTAGCGGTTCATGCCCACAGGGTTCACCAGGCACTCTTCAGGGGTGACTGTTTTTGCTAAACAAGAAGGTAGTGCAGAGAATCAGAGATCAGAGAGCAATTCATGAGGCCACCTGGGGCTCAATCTTGGCAGTCTTTCCCTGGCAGCTCAGTGGCCACCCTCTGTGGGGAAGGGAGATGAGGAGAAGGGAACCTCATAGTAAAATTCCCCAAGCCCACCCTTAGCAAATCAGGGCTTTCTGTACTTGAAAGTGCCGCCTTTCAGTCTGCTGAATTCTATGAGCCACACCAAGGCCAAATGGCTTTCTTTTGGTCTTTTTTTTTTTTTTCTTCCTATAAGGACAAAGTCCATGAGAATTGTGGGGATAGAAAGAGGAAGGAAAACATCATAGTAATTCCTACTCCTCAGTCTCACCTACACCAAACAAGATGTCTGGCTAGTCCCATCAATAATCATCAGTATACTGGTGGTGGTTATGTGCTGTAGAGTCGGTTCCTACTATAGCAACCCTGGTGTGGTGCTGTGGGTTAATGTGCCAGACTGCAAAGTCATTTGAACTACAAGGTTGGTGGCTCAAGCTCACCAGCTGCTCCTTGGAAACCCTATACAGGGTCATTATGGGTGGAATCGACTCGATGGCCCTTGACAATAACAACAACAGGGCTTCTGAGGCTGTAAATCTTTATAGGAGCAGAAAACCTCATCTTTCTTCCACAGAACAGCTGGTAGTTTCGAACTGCTGACCTTTAGGTTGCAGCCCGATTCATAACCATTATGCCACATTAGACATAATCAAAACAGATCTGACATTTCCAAAGGAAATGCAATAGACTGACAAAAACCAATGGGTCCACCAAGGTTGGCAGTGTTCTTACTAGGTGTTGAATCAGTTCAGACTCATAGGGACCCTAGGCACAACAGAATGAAACACTGCCTCCTGTACAGGTTCCTCATGAGCACAATGAAGTGTTCTAGAATATTCATTCTTTGCAATGTTATGATCCACACAATCTAATGCCTTCACATAGTCAATAAAGTACAAATAATTATCTTTTTATGGAGTGCTGTAGCTCTGCTCTAGGATAAGTACTAGACCGGGAATGACAAGGTCTGTGGTTTGAGCCCATCAGCTGCTCTTGCAGGAAAAAAAATGAAACTATCTGCTCCTGAAAAGATTTACAGCCTCAGAAACCCTATACAAGGTATTGACTAGATAGTAGGCATATGGATATTATTCTATCATGGACAGCATTGTACTCGAGATAGATCCTGAAATATTCTTTTTGACAATGAATTGATGCCATTCTTCTTCAATTTGTCATTCCCAACACAGCAAACTATACAATTGTCCAACTCAAAAATAGCCAATACCAGTTCATTTCAGCTCATTAATGCTTCATAAATCCTTCCATATCATTTTTGAGGACTTCAAAATTTCCTAAATTCATACTTTGTACATTCCATGTTTTGATAGTTAATATATCCTTGCACCTGTTTCTTCCCATTTTGAGTTGTGCTCCATTAGCAAAAGAAGGTTCTGGAAGCTTTTCTCTATATCATCGTCACTAAGATCAACTCTGTTTTGAGGAGGCAACTCTTCCCTAGTCCTATCTTGAATGCCTTCCCACCTGGGGGCTCATCTTCTGGCATCTGACAAGGTTCTGTCGTGATTCAGAAGGTTTTCAGAGGTCAACCATTCAGAAAGGGTCTGGCTCTTCTTCCTTGTCTGACTTAGTCTGGAAGCTCTGCTTCCTGTTTCCCATGGGTGACTCTGTTGATATTTAAAATGCTGGTGGTATAGCTTCCAACCTCACAGCAACACACAACCAACACTGTACAACAATCATAGACAAGAGATTCAGGTTGGCACTAGGCTACTGCATTTGGGGCAATACGATCTAGATGTTGTCTCCATGCTATGTTTGTTTGTTTTTTAATTGTTATTAAACCAATTCGAGTCATGGTGAGCCCATGTTTGTGAGAGTAGAACAGTGCTCCATACGATTGTCCACCTCTGATTTTTTTTGGAAGTAAATTACCAAGCCCTTTTTCTGAGGGGTCTCTTGGTGAACCATAAGCCTCTTGGTTTCAGGCAAGTATGCTAACTGCTAAGACTTGGTTTTATTAGGGGAGTGGCAGGTCTTCTCATGGTTGGGAATGCACCTGGCACTTGTTTGCAAAAAAAGCCCAGTGTTTTTCAGGCTGGGGGTTGTGAACACATTCTTGAGAGTTTTATGCAGTGAAGTCTGGCAAACAGTGCTTTGGAAACAAGGCACAATTAAAATGAGCAGCCTAGGAGTGTGCCTACTCTATGCTACTTGCTCTGTGGCCAATACAGGTAGCAAGCTATCTCCAGGGACCCGGAATGCTGCACCTTTGGCTGGATGGGCCTCTACTGCCAGCTTTCTTCTTAGTCAGAAAACGCCAGTAGAAAGAGTTTTAAAAGGAACTGGCCATAGAACTCTGGGGTCCTGGTGTGGCACTATAGGTTAAGCATTGGATTACAAGGTCGGTTTGAGCCACAAGGTCACCAGCCATTCCTCAGAAACCCTATACAGGGTCACTGTGAGTCAGGACTGATTCAATGGCATTTAACAACAACAACATGGAGCTGTAGGCTTGACTGCCTCCTGAAGGGAATGAGGGAGAGGAAAAATCATATGTACCAAGCATCTTCTCTGGACCAGCACCCTTCTAAGCTAGTGTAGCTGAAAGGCTGCCATTACATTGCCTGTATTGGAAAGTTCTCACAGCCTGGGATACAAGACCTTTTGATACCCTAAATGGCAGCACTTTGGAATATGTGAGGACACTACACACATGGCAGTTGGCATAGAAGAGACAGTCAATAAGTACTTATGGAGTAGATGTTTGTGACAATGCAACAGGATGGTTGTCATTGCACAGAATATGCATTAAGGGATAGACATAAATTCTTCATTTGGATTTGTGATCTACACTTACAAAATATAACTAAGCTATTTATCCTGCGTACTACATATTGTAAATTTAAGTTAAATTTGTGGTTAGGTTACATAGGGTCGAGTGGGTTCCAACTCATAGTGACCCTCCGTAAAACAGAATGAAACACTGACCAGTCCTGCGTCATCTTCACAGTTGCTGCTACACTTGAGCCCACTGCTGCTGCCACTGTGCCAATCCATCTCGTTGGAGGTCTCCCTCTCTTATGCTGACCCTCCACTTTACCAAGCATGATGTCATTCTCCAGAAACTGGTCCCTCCTGATAATATATAGAGCTGAAGTATGAGAGATGAAATCTGGTCATCTTGGCTTCTTAGGAGCATTCTGGTTCTACTTCCTCCAACACAGATTTGTTTGTTCTTCTGGCAGTCCATGGTTCCTTTAGTGTTCTTCTCCAACACCATAACTCAGATGTATCAATTCTTCTACAGTCTTCCTTATTCGTTGTTTAACTTTCACATGCATATGAGGTTATTGAAAGTACCACAGCTTAGGTCAGGTGCATCTTAGTCCTCCAACTGACATCTTTGCTTTTGAACACTTTAACAAGGTCTTGTGCAGCAGATTTGCCTATATAATAAATATGCCTATGTAATTCTGATTGTCTAGGGAATGGAGAGAGTTTACTGATCTGTACTATAGAAACAAAATACAGATGCAAATAAAGATCATTCTCTTATGATGACATGTGGAAATGGGGAACGAGGGAGTATGTGCTTTACTGGTTTAAAAATTGCTGACAACCATGGAGGAGATCAAAGGAAATAAAAGCTGGCCTCTGGGCTCTGATCCAAATAGATTAGTCAGGAAATAAAACCAACTTCAGAGATCATCAAGCAATAGCTTTCAGTCCAGCAAAGGATAAGCCAGTGGTTCTGAAGATGGCCCAGGATGACAGCCATGGAGACTCATCAACAAGCCTCCCCCCATGGCAGCCCCAACCATGGTTTTGCAGAGCCAGCATGTCCTGAGAAGGTTGTGAGTGAACAGCATGTTCAAATGCCTATAGCCCACCAGCTTTCCGAATTCACAGTACAGATCTACTCAACTTCAATTTAAACAGCATTTTCCTCATCTTTATAAACTGGGATGATGACTCCCTAAATCATACCTAGAGGGTAAAAGTGACTCATATAGTTATGGTCATCAGCATGAACCCTCTGGGCTGAACCAAAGGGTCTTCACAAGTACCCAGTCAGGCATTTCCCCAAATGCCAAATATGTGCCCCTGTTGTTATGCTGAATGACTTCAGGTGGCACATGAGTGAATGCTATTTATATTAATGTACAAGTAACACACGATGGACAGGGACCCATGCACAGGGAACCAGGATTTTTCTGATACACAAACATTGGTTAAGATAAACTTAAATTTTGGAGAACAAACAAGATGGCAGATAGGGTTGAAGTGTAGATAGGAGCTCTGTCAGCAATAACACAGAATACAGGACCAAGAAGGCTCAGGGGATGGTTCCAGAACATTGAACCACTTATGAAGGAATATTTAGAAAATCAGAAGGCTTACAGCCAGTGGAATTTGTAGCAGAAGCAAGAAATCCAGTACTTTCTAATCCAAGGCGCTCAGCTGCTCCCTGAGCAGCCATCTTGGGTGAGACCAAACCAGGGAAGGATCAGAGCAGCCACAGAACTATGGAGACAAACGTGTAGACATTATTTTTTTCATATCCGTTTATTGACCTCTCACTGTCTGTGCATCTCCATTCTGGTGACTAGATGGGGTGCCTGAGTGAGTGGACACCCCACCCCCACCTCCAGAGAGTTCTATTATGCATGTGCACAGATACCCTCAAAATTTAAAGTGACAGTTTCTACTTAAAAGCAAACAGCAGTGCAAAATGGCCACAGCTGGCCCTGAACTGTTTATCACTAAGAAAAAGGCCTGAACAGGGATTTTGGAGTAGGACAGGCAGACTAAAAAGGAAACAGGCGGAAAATTGAATCCTGAGTTATGTCATAACGACCAACAGTGGCATCTTGAAATTTTTCATGAACAAGAGTGAAAAGGGAAGCCCTCCTGATCACATCTACCTGGAGGCAATCAGAAAACATAAA